GCTCCATAAACGTACAGACATTGCCCATTACTTTTTAGGAAGAAAAAAGTGTGTCTTATGGAGCAAAAAATACGGTAATAGATAGTCTCACTTACTTCCAAGCGGAGCCACATTAACCTCCCTTTACTGAGATGACGGAAGCCACACAGATTTCAGCCTGGTTCTTGGGGTTCACGGCCTCCAGTTTCATGTTTTTCGTAAAGCCTCGGCTGAAGGATACCTGAAAGAGGCAGCCACATAGCCTTAGTTTTGTACCCTTTGGCCCTTGCGCAGATAGCAGCGCTTTGTCTAGTTTTCAGGACATTGACGGCGGCTTAAAAGAGGGCTGGATGCTCATCTTGAATACAGTGGTACCTCGGGTTACAGACGCTTCAGGTTACAGACTCCGCTAACCAGAAATATTATCTCGGGTTAAGAACTTTGCTTCAGGATGAGAACAGAAATCGCGCTCCTGTGGCGCAGTGGCAGCAGGAGGCCCATTAACTAAAGTGGTGCTTCAGGTTAAGAATAGTTTCAGGTTAAGAACAGACCTCCAGAACGAATTAAGCTCTTAACCCGAGGTACCACTATATTGTCCATTCCCCTAACACTTCTGGTTCAACAGGTGTCCAGTGTTTTCGGTGAGAACTGTGAGAACTGCAATTACAAATAACTAACCGAATGATTGAGATGTGTCAACGCTTCCAAGCATGAAATTTAAGTTTGATCTGAGAAGCTGGCCCTCGCCATACAATCGCTTGGCCTTTGTCACCAATGTAATATTTCCTCAATTGAACAAATGACAGAATATAGTACAATCCTCAAGTTGTTTTGTGGCACTCATTTGATAGATATTGAGATGTACCTTGGATGGAGGGCGGGGGAGAGAGAATGGCTAAAAAATATTGATCCTGAACCATTGAAAGTGCACCAGTTCCTACTGCATGCAGGCTAAGCAAAGCCATTAAATGTTCAGGGTCTGCAACCTGAACTTCGTTAATAAGACATTCATAAATCCCCACCATGCAAGGCCGCTTAAAAGAGTGCAGAGATTAATGGGGACTGATTTGAAGAGGATCTCATGTGGCTTGCTAAAGGGAAAACTGGAGAGAGCCACGTTCGGCCCAAATCCAAAACTGTGTCCAAATAAATAAAATATATATAAATTATACCCACACGCCTGCCATAGTTGCCTTCATGCAATGGCTGTTACCAGAAGAACTTTAAGGGCAATTCCTGACCTTTTGAGCACCAAACATTTAAAACACTATTGCCCCACTTTAAATAGCAAATAATAATAATAATAATAATAATAATAATAATAATAATAATAATAATTTATTTATACCCCGCCCATCTGGCTGAGTTTCCCCGCAAAGAATCCTGGGAAGTGTAGTCGCCCCCCCCCCCCATTTAAGGTGCTGAGTGTTGCTGGGAGACCCCTATTTCCCTCCCAGAGCGCCAATTCCTCATGGGCAAAATGAGACAGGTGAACATCATTGGTTTATCAACCAATCAATCCCTCTTCCCAGGGAACTCTGGGAACTGAAGTTCTATGAGGGTAACAGGGGTCTCTTAGCAATTCTCAGCACCATTAAAGTTTTAAAGGTTTTTTTTGGGGGGGGGTTGCTAGGCCCCAATGCCAACAGCTTTGAGGCTTCCTTGGACTGCACAGGTATTCGATATCTTAGCTTTATGCTCAATAACAGTTCTGATATAATAGAACAAAGTGTTCACTGAGGAGCTGTTAAGCATTATGTTATAGCACTATGGGTTTTTATTTAGGCTGTTAATTTTCCATGAATCATTTTGAGCAGAAATGTATTCGTGGAAAGTGTGGTATATATAAATAAACTGACGGTGACTAAGTGAGCAGCTGAATATTCTTTTAAAAAGGACATGCACTGATGTGGATGGAATAATCTGACCACTTTGGTTCCACTAAGTTTCTCACTTGTTCCAAGTGTCAAGTTCATTTTGCCCCGTTTCTTCACCGGTTTGAAAAAGTTTTACAAAACAAACACACCGGTACAAAAGTTCACATGCATTTTGGCCTTTCATATTTTGTCAAATAATGGCCAGTTGTTTTAAAACAAATCAGTTACCTTATCGCCTTGCAACATTTCTATGATGGCTTAGAAAGCAAAGCTACACTGTGATTTTATATTTGACAAAGCTACAGGTTTCTCTTGACGCAAACACTTCCTACAAGCCATTTCCCCTATTATAATGCGTTTTTCCATGTTAGTTTGCCCTAATACGCATTTCTGTGACCATTCTTTGGTTGGCGAACAGCATCACAAAATTACAAGAAGCGAAAATGTGGTCAGGGAAGTACAATTTAGGTGGGTGCTCACTGAAAGATGAACGGACTCAAATTTCTCTCCCACAATCTTACTGTAAGAAACAGAAAGGAAGGAGCTTCTCAAGAACGGGCAGAGATAATGCAGCCCAGCTTTACAGGACAGGAAAACTCAAGCTAGGGGTGGCAAGGGAAGCAAGGAGTGAGAAAAAGAGCTTTTTTTAACCCTCAAATAAGAGAGAGGGAAATGATTATAGAATCCTCACAGCTGACCAAGAGAAGGCAGAACCTGAAGCTCATTGGTGAAGCGCCAGCCAATCATGTAGAACAGGCACCCCCAAACTCAGCCCTCCAGCTGTTTGGGGACTACAATTCCCATCATCCCTGACTACTGGTCCTGTTAGTTAGGGATGATGGGAGTTGTAGTCCCAAAACAGCTGGAGGGCCGGGTTTTGGGAGGCCAGATGTAGAAGCTCCCTGTTTCAATCCCTGACACCTGCAAGTGGGATTGGGAATGCCCCCTACCCGAAGCCCAGGAGAGCGGCTGCCAGTCCGTGTAGACAGCACTGACCTGGATGGACCAGGTATAAGGAATCTTCCTATGTTTTCTACTCTGGTCCTATTTTCCCTCCAACTCCTCCTTGAAGGGGAACTCTATGCAACCCCACCCAGTTCCGGGTTCCATCCGCCGAGTTTCCAGTTGAAAAGGATGCTAGGGTTTATGGGAATTGGACTCCAGCAGAATCTAGGGAGAGCCAGTGTGGTGTAGTGGTTAAGAGCAATAGACTCGTAATCTGGTGAACTGGGTTCGCTTCCCCGCTCCTCCACATGCAGCTGCTGGGTGACCTTGGGCCAGTCACACTTCTCTGAAGTCTCTCAGCCCCACTCACCTCACAGAGTGTTTGTTGTGGGGGAGGAAGGGAAAGGAGAATGTTAGCCGCTTTGAGACTCCTTCGGGTAGTGATAAAGCTGGGTATCAAATCCAAACTCTTCTTCTTCTTCTTCTTGGCCACCTGAAAAAGCCCCTGCTGCTGTGGAGTGCCCCCTACCACCCAGGAGTGGGTGGCAAGTTCTCCTCCCTCTCTCATAACACTGGAACTTCCAGGTCAGATTAAAGGAGGTACTTCTTCATGCATCAATTGTCCGAACGGTGGAACTCACTGCCACAAGAAGCAGTGGTGGCCACCATCTTGGACGGCTTTAAAAGAGCATGGCTTTGGGGTAAAGGTATCAATGGCCACTAGCCAAGACAATTACGCTTTGCCTCCATAGTCAGAGACACTAAATGCTTCTGAATACCAGCTGCTGGAAACCCCTGGAAGGGAGAGTGTTGGTGTGCTTGTGTGGATTTTGGCTTTTGATTTTGACCCAGCTTAAGCGGTGGACTCGTAATCTGGTGAACCGGGTTCGCTTCCCCGCTCCTCCACATGCAGCTGCTGGGCAACCTTGGGCCAGTCACACTTCTCTGAAGTCTCTCAGCCCCACTCACCTCACAGAGTGTTTGTTGTGGGGGAGGAAGGGAGAGGAGAATGTTAGCGCTTTGAGACTCCTTAGCATAGTGATAAAGCGGGATACCAAATCCAAACTCTTCTTCTTCTAGGGAGCATCACTTTGGTGGACCTCAGCCTCTGGGCTGCTTCCGGCCTCCCTATTTTGTACACTGCATACATTTCCCCACCAGGCCAGAGGCTCAGATGCCCAGGCAGGGATGCTCTGCTGTTGTTGGGCTGTTGTTATTTTTAAAAAGATAAATGATGCATTTCCTTCTCCCACCCCACCCCCATTGTTTAAGCAGTCCCTGCTGCGTAGTTCGTGGTGCTGAAAGGCGGAAGCTAAGAACCAGCAAACGAGGAGGCCGGTGTGGGATTAGTAGATATAAAAGAAACGCAGTCTGAAGACTGCGTTTTTCTAAGTCTGAATGCACAGCTTGCGTTCATCAATATCGTATGGGTCTTTAATCATATTTATGCTTCATCTTAGGGACATGGGTGGTGCAGTGGGTTAAACCACAGAGCCTAGGACTTGCCGATCAGAAGGTCGGCGGTTCGAATCCCCGCGACAGAGTGAGCTCCCGTTGCTCAGTCCCTGCTCCTGCCAACCTAGCAGTTCGAAAGCACATCAAAGTGCAAGTAGATAAATAGGTACCGCTCTGGCGGGAAGGTAAACGGCGTTTCTGTGCGCTGCTCTGGTTCGCCAGAAGCGGCTTAGTCATGCCAGCCACATGACCGGAAGCTGTACGCCAGCTCCCTCGGCCAATAAAGTGAGATGAGCGCCACAACCCCAGAGTTGGTCACAACTGGACATAATGGTCAGGGGTCCCTTTACCTTTACTATGCTTCATTTTTCCTCCTAGGAGCTCAATGAGGCATTGATGGTTCTCTTCCCATTTTATCGTCCCACAACAACCCTGTGAGGTAGGTTAGGATGAGAGACTGGGACTGGGACTTGGCAGGTTTCATGGATGAGCAGGGATTCGAACCCTGGTCTCCCCGGTCCTAGTCCAACACTCTAACCACTACACCACAGTAGTCCTCACTAGATTTGGACACATGGGTTGCCTATATCAATTTACATATCGATGGGATATTTGCATTAGTGTCAGAAGATGAAGTCCCCCCCCTTTGTTACATTTGCAGCCAGCCAAATACTTAAATAAATAAATAAATCTGTCTCAATTAAATCAATAAACCTTTTTTAGAAAAGGAAAATGGTATCTTACATTTCTGAAGCAGAACTGGGGAGCTGCTTCAGTTCCACATTGCTTCTGGTAATCTGCCCAGTCAAAGTCCTGGCTGGAATAACCTGCAAGACAACGCATAAGAATATAAACAGGGCTTTATTTTTCAGCCTCATCTCGCCGGAACTCAGTTCGGGCACCTCTCAGGTGGGCGCCTTTGCTGTTATATGAAAACAGAGGTGAGTTCATGGTGAGTTCTGGCACCTCTTTTTTTCTAGCCCTGAATATAAGGACATAAGAAGGACATCGTTCAGCCCAGACACTGAGATCCAGCTCCGAGGGCCTTCTGGCAGTTCCCTCACTGCGAGAAGTGAAGTTACAGGGCCTTCTCAGTAGTGGCACCCACCCTCCGGAACGCCCTCCCATCGGATGTCAAACAGATAAATACTACAACTATATGGCTTTTAGAAGACGTCTGAAAGCAGTCCTGTATAGGGAAGTTTTTAATATTAGATGTTTTTCTGTGATTTAATAATTTGTTAGAAGCTGCCCAGAGGGTAGGATTTGAACCAACAGGTTCAAAGGAGATTCCATCTAAACATTAGGAAGAAATTCTTTACGGTAAAAGCAGTTTGGCAGCTTGGAAGGTGACGACTCTCCTTCCTTGGAGGTTTTTAAGCAGAGGTTGGATGGCCATCTGTCATGGATGCTTTAGCTGAGATTCCTGCATTGCAACAGGGGGTTGGACTAGATGACCCAGGGGTCCCTTTGCATTCTGCAGTTCTATGATTCTGGGCACCAAAAAGTTCCCACTGCCAAGGTCCCTTTGAAGAACGGCGGCTTGCCTCTTTGGCAGCTGGATCTGCTGCAGCCTCAAATCTCCAGCTGTCTTCACTGCTCTGTTCTTCCACCCGCACACTTATTGTAATTTTGGACTGTGGTCATGCCTGAAGTCAGCCCTTCTCCAACTGGGTACAGTTCAGGTGCGTTGTACTACCTGAAGTATACCTGAAGGAGCGTCTCCACCTCCATCGTTCTACCCGGACACTGAGGTCCAGCGCCGAGGGCCTTCTGGCAGTTCTCTCACTGTGAGAAGTGAGGTTACAGGGAACCAGGCAGAGGGCTGCCTCGGTAGTGGCGCCTGCCCTGTGGAACACCCACCCACCAGATTCCAAAGAGAAAATAACTACCAAACATTTAGAAGACATCTGAAGGCAGCCCTGTTTAGGGAAGCTTTTAATGTTTAATAGGTTATTGTATTTTAGTGTTTTGTTGGAACCAGGCAAAAGAGTGGCTGGGGAAACCCAGCCAGATGGGCGGGGTATAAATAATAAATTATTACAGTGGTACCTCGGGTTACATACGCTTCAGGTTACACACTCCGCTAACCCAGAAATAGTGCTTCAGGTTAAGAACTTTGCTTCAGGATAAGAATAGAAATTGGGCTTCAGTGGCGCGGCGGCAGCGGGAGGCCCCATTAGCTAAAGTGGTGCTTCAGGTTAAGAACAGTTTCAGGTTAAGAATGGACCTCCAGAACAAATTAAGTACTTAACCCGAGGTACCACTGTATTATTATTATTATTATTATTATTATTATTATTATTACTACTACTACTACTACAACTCCCATCAACCTCAGGCAGCAGGTGTTAGATGCTGGCGGCTAGCTGCCCTTTTATAACCAGCTAAATGTTTTATTAACTGCAGCGGCCAGTGTTAAGATTTCAGATGCTGGCAATAGCATGCAGTCAAGGAGCGGCGCATGATTACATTCAAGCGCATAGCTGAGCGTTCTCTGCAACGTGCTGTAATCGTTGAGAAAATGCTCTCTCCCCTTAAACAGCTCATAAAAGAGCGCAATGGCTCTTAATGTTTAAGAAAGAAAGAAAAGAGGTCTATAAATCCAGCTTAGTAAATATAAGCGGTGCCAGCTCAGTGCTTACATTTGCTGGCAGTTAATGGAGATGCATTTGCTGGCTGGCACCAAACAGAGAGAGCACATGGGTCTATTTTTGGCCCCAGGGAACCCGCACATTAAATCTGCCTCCAGGCAAAAGGGGTAAATTCAGTTTAGGAAAAACACGCAATCTAACCTCTACCCGTCCCCAGAAAACCAGCCCCCAAAGCAGGCTGTGTTGGTACAGTGGTACCTCAGGTTACATACGCTTCAGGTTACATACGCTTCAGGTTACAGATTCCGCTAACCCAGAAATAGTGCTTCAGGTTAAGAACTTTGCTTCAGGATGAGAACAGAAATTGTGCTCTGGCGGCGTGGCGGCAGCAGGAGGCCCCATTAGCTAAAGTGGTGCTTCAGGTTAAGAACAGTGTCAGGTCAAGAACGGACCTCCGGAACGAATTAAGTACTTAACCCGAGGTACCACTGTATAATAAAGCAGAATTTATTTATTAATTGGGTTTAGGTGTCACTTTCTAGACCAGCTCGGAAAAATAAGGATGTCTTGAAAGATATTTTTGTGTCACCATTTCACAGAACCCTAGAACTGGAAGTTCAACTGCAATGAAACTATCTCTCTTGTGACTCGCTTGTTTTGTATGTGGTGCGATACACTGCCACAGCACTTTTGGATTGTTAATAATGGTAATAAAGCTTATTTGGGGGACTAAATGCTTCTGCCCCCCCCATATATTATCCTCACAACCACCCTGTGAGGTAGGATGGGTTAGACTTAAGAGACACACTGAGTTAGGCTTAGAGATGATGCCACGTTTCTCTAGTATTAAGCCAAAACTTGACCCACTATGCAAGGAGCCATCATTGTGGGTCTTTCCTGGCGCTCCTGAATGCCTTTCCCTTGCTGAAAGAGGCAATTCTGCAGTTGCTATTAAAACAGATTGTGGTGTGTGCTTGGTTGCGGTGTTCCTGTGGCGCCCACAACAGCTTCTCCAATTTGTGATTGCAAAAAGGTGTCCCCAAGAAAGGCTGCCGACTCTGCAGTACACCATGCCAGTTCTCAAACGTACAGTATTTTTCCGTGTATAAGACGCCCAAAATTAAGAAATTAAGTTGTTTAGCTTTTCGGAGGGGTGGGGGAGGTCACTTCCGCCAATCGCTCACCCGCCTGCCCACCACCGGTGATCGCTTGCCACAGTCACTGCCGATCGCACACCTCGCCGCAACTGCCAATTGCTCGCCGCCACCAACATCCCACCTGCCCACTTGCCACAGCTGCCAATCGGCTGCCCAATTGCTGCAGCCACAGCCAATCGCCAGCAGGCCTTGGCACAGCCACCAATCGCCCGCCCAATCGCCACTGCCAATCTCCTGTTTGCTGCTGCCATGAAGCGCATGTCCCCCCCCCCCTGCATTCACTATCCGTGTACAGTGGTACCTTAGGTTACATACGCTTCAGGTTACATACGCTTCAGGTTACACACTCCGCTAACCCAGAAATAGTGCTTCAGGTTAAGAACTTTGCTTCAGGATAAGAACAGAAATTGGGCTCCGGTGGCACGGCAGCAGCAGGAGGCCCCATTAGCTAAAGTGGTGCTTCAGGTTAAGAACAGTTTCAGGTTAAGAACGGACCTCTGGAATGAATTAAGTACTTAACCTGAGGTACCACTATGTAAGACGACACCCAATTTTTGCCTGATTTTTTCTTAGCAAAAAGCATCGTCTTATACACAGAAAAATACGGTAAATATCTGGGAGCTTCATGGCTGAGTCCCTCTCTCCAGATTCAGCAGGCAGCACTTATAGCCTTCTTCCACGTCTCACGTCCTGGGTTACGCAACCCTGAAACCCACTATCAAATCTGAAACAAGCTGTGGGCTAGCCAGGGCACCGTAGCACTCTGAAAACCCAGGAAAGACTTTTTGCCCAGAGAGAGCTATATATATATATACAGACCTTTGGGCGGTGTCAGGTGGACTCCGTTTTTAAGGCACCACTGTACTGGCATGATCCCCAAGGAATCGGCATGGCAAATCATGGAGGCTGCGCTCCCTTCGGGACGGAGGTCGTCGATGGTTACTTGAACGAAATGGTTGTTAAAAACCTGGAGGGAACCAAACAATTCTGCATTAAGGAAAACCCCCTGCCACACAGGAAAGGAAAACACACACACAGAATGAATGTGAACTCTGTTCAGGGACCAACCAGCCTTGTGTTTTCCTTTCATTTTGTACGGAAAAATATTAGGTTTGGGATACTCATCAGCAAAAGTGGGTCTGCAATTTTCACACTTCAGGTCCGAAACGTACCTCACAGGGTTGTTGTGAGGATAAAATGGGGAGAGGGAGAACCACGTAAGACACCTGGAGCGCCTTGGAGGAAAAGGTGGGGTAGAAATGCAAAATAATAAATAAATAAAGTGGGAGTGCTCTTTTGGGCTGAAGGAAAGTTTGGTAAAAGTGCCCCCACCATTGAGCTTACCACTAATAACCCACCCTAGGACCTCACAGGGAAGGGAAGAATTTTTTTTTTTTTTTTAATTATTATTATTATTATTATTATTATCCATCTGTGTTAGAATCACAGAATTTCAGAGTTGGAAGGGACCCAAGGGTCATCTAGTCCAACCCTCTGCCTTCCCCCATTTTAAATTTCTCACCTTAGATATTGTAGCGGGACAAATCCTACATGGATCTTTCATATCCACTGCCTCCAATTTCATGCCCACTGTGAACAGGTGGTTCCTCAAGTCGTCATGGTCCTATGAAACAAAAAATAAATAAATCCAAGGCTTTGTCCTCGAAGCTCAGAAGGTGATTAAGTAAAAAAAGGTAAAGGACCCCTGGACAGTCAAGTCCAGTCAAAGGTGACTATGGGGTTGCGGCGCTCATCTCGCTTTCAGGCCGAGGGAGCCAGCGTTTGTCGACAGGCAGCTTTCCGGGTCATGTGGCCAGCAGGACTAAACCGCCTCTGGCACAATGGGACACTGTGACGGAAGCCAGAGCACACAGAAATGCTGTTGACCTTCCCGCCGGAGTGGTACCTATTTATCTACTTGCACTGGTGTGCTTTTGAACTGCTAGGTTGGCAGGAGCAGGGACAGAACAACGGAAGCTCACTCCGTTGCAGGGATTCGAACCGCCGGCCTTCCAATCAGCAAGCCCAAGAGGCTCAGTGGAGTCCAAGTAGGGAGCAAGCACCATTTATATGTGTCAGGGCTGCCTCAGGTCTCAGCTCACAAAAGACCAACGCCAAGTTCTTCTTATATACAAAGGTGTTTATTGCAGTTCATTGTTTGCTTTACAACCGAGGCGCGCAGCCCCACGTCTGTTACCCTTAGACCGCTGAAGTCCCCTCTGAGTCGGTCCCTCCCCTACACCAGTTTAAGAGGCTTACGCTACTCCACCTCTTCCTGTCTTTCCTTTTCCGCAGGGCCTTTCTGCCCGCCGGGCTTTCGCCCCTCCTGGATTCCCCTCCCGTGGAATCCCCAGACTGCTCTCCCTCCCTCCTGCGGGCTTTGGGACTTGGCTCCTCCTCCGGGCTCCCTGTTCTTCCGCGCGCCTCCACATTTGAACTTGGCGTGCGTCCCCAACCTCTAACCTTCCTCTTGACAGTTACACTACTCCCCCCACTGCTCTCCTCCCCTTCCAGGAGGATGTCCTGCTCCGACCCCCCTTCCTGCTCTGCTGCCGGAGCTGCTTGCCTTGTCACACTGGAACCTCCACTCCCTTCACTGCGCTCGGGTGGGGAAGCTGGTCCCGACTCCCAGCTCTCCTCCTGGGGTCCCCTGCTGGCCCCTTGCTCCTGACGAATCCCCCCTGGGACTCCCCTTGGCCTGACTGCAGGCGCCCCCTTCTGGGAATCCTCCGATTCACTTGAAAGACTCATGGAATCTCTCGAGTCAATGTCATCCTCTTCCTCGCTGTCCTGGGATTCATCCTCATCGCTCTCCGTCTCCTCCCTCCTCTGTGCCTCTGTCCCTGAACCCCTGACAATATGAATCCCTGGGGTCCGGGTGCTCTTTGCAGCAGCGGTTGTGGGCCCACCATGGCTACATGGGCCTGGTATCGTCTGTTCTCCATCCTGCCTTAGTCACATCCCCTTTTCCTGGCATCCGTCAGTCTCGAGAGACAATGGAGTTCGCCTCCAGGGGTGAAGCCAAACCGCTGCGTTACTATGGTTGCCATATTTTGAAGAGCAAAAAAGAGGCCACATTTGCCAACTTCTACTTTTAAATACAGATCCCTTTGACGACTCTCATTTCAAATGCCCCTACTATACGTAGGCTATAGGTAAAGGTAAAGGGACCCCTGACCCTTAGGTCCAGTCGTGACCGACTCGGGTTGCGGCGCTCATCTCGCTTTACTGGCCGAGGGAGCCGGCGTACAGCTTCCGGGTCACGTGGCCAGCATGACTAAGCCGCTTCTGGCGAACCAGAGCAGCGCACAGAAACACTGTTTACCTTCCCGCCAGAGGGGTACCTATTTATCTATTTGCACTTTGAGATGCTTTCGAACTGCTAGGTTGGCAGGAGCTGGGACCGAACAATGGGAGCTCACCCCGTCGCAGGAATTCGAACCGCCAACCTTCTGATCGGCAAGTCCTAGGCTCTGTGGTTTAACCCACAGTGCCACCCGCGTCCCTATACATAGGCTACAGAAGCTGTGGTAATATTCCTAGCCGCAATGTTCTCAACTTTCAGCAACTAAATGATATATATACATGCACCCTCACTTGCCACATGAAAGTATTTGTGTGTGTGCACAGAACAATTTATTAAACTGTTTAACATGTACATATGGACTCTCCTTAAGGGCAGGGGGATGTTAACTCTTGCCCTCCCAGGCTCCTTCTCCAAAATCTTGTAGCTGAGCTAGCATCCTTTTAGTTCAGTCACAAGAGAAGGGATTTATACACTATGTATAGCTAGTTTAAGACGCTTCTCTGTTGTGATTCTCTGCTGCAGACTAGCTTAGCCAGGTATCTTAGATCCAAGTCTAATGCAGTAGAAAAATTTCTTGGGTTACTGGAAGCAAAAAAACAACAACCCCCAGACATTTTGCCAAATGTTAAAAATCTACCCGGACAGAAATTTTATTCCTGAAAAAAGAGGATGTGTCCAGGGAAAAGAGACCATATGGTAACCTTAGAAGTTACTTCCCCGCTGAGAAAGCCTGGGCAGTGTATGGAGGTCCAGATGATAAGTCCCTCCCCCCTCTTAGCTTCATTGGTGTGGTCCAAAGGAAAGAAGAGCAAGATGTTTTGCACCAGTTTGGCTGCAGGAATTGCTGGAAGGAGGCATAAAGTAAAGGTAAAGAGACCCCTGACCATTAGGTCCAGTCGTGACCGACTCTGGGGTTGCGGCGCTCATCTCGCTTTATTGGCCGAGGGAGCCGGTGTACAGCTTCCGGGTCATGTGGCCAGCATGACTAAGCCGCTTCTGGCGAACCAGAGCAGCGCATGGAAATGCTGTTTACCTTCCCGCCGGAGCGGTACCTATTTATCTACTTGCACTTTGATGTGCTTTCAAACTGCTAGGTGGGCAGGAGCAGGGACCGAGCAACGGGAGCTCACCCCGCTGCGGGGATTCGAACCGCCGACCTTCTGATGGACAAGTCCTAGGCCCTGTGGTTTAACCCACAGCGCCATCCACGTACCGGAAGGAGGCATACAAGGCATACACTCCACTCCAGATTTGTGTAGGGTTTATTCCTGAGCATTTTCTCCTCCCAAAGATATCCCGACAGGCGGCAGAGGCTTAGGATCAGGGTCTTCCTTCTCTTAGATGGTCTGCCTTCCCAGGGTGATGGGCCCCAGTTTAACGGGAAGTGTGAGAAGGTGGCTTCAAAACGCTCCGTCCCAGCGAACCTTTTACCAGCCTGTCTCAGATTCAGAGGAATGAATGAGACGGCAAACATATGCTCCCTTTCAAGACGCCAATTAATCTACATAATTTCTGAAGGATACATTTCACTGGAGCGAACAGAAAGCTTTTAATTGCTATTAGGCTCAAATTGACGCACAGCCATGATGGATTGCTCTCTGAATTCCTTGGCGCACATCAATGGCAGATAATAAGACTTCTCTTTCTTTCTCTTTACTCTTGAGACAAAAAAGAAAGTAGGGTCTCATGGATCCCACACGGTGCATCAACACAGGTCCCTTACGTTCAAGACAACATAGCAGATATATGTGATTGTGTGATACTTAACCCCTCTTACAAATTTGTCCTTAAGAGATTTGAGAGCCAGTATAGTCTAGCGGTTAAAGGGCTGGACCAGGGGAAGGCAAACTAAGGCCCGGGGGCCGGATGCGGCCCAATCGTCTTCTAAATCCGGCCCCCAGACAGTCTGGGAATCAGCATGTTTTTACAGGAGCAGAATGTGTCCTTTTATATAAAATGCATCTCTGGGTTATTTGTGGGGCATAGGAATTCGTTCATATTTTTTTTATTCAAAATATAGTCTAGCCCCCCACAAGGTCTGAGGAACGGTGGACCGGCCCACAGCTGAAAAAGGTTGCTGACCCCTGGGCTGGAC